TTTAAGGTCTGGGTTCTTGAGCTAACTTGGATACTGACTTGCTGTGCTATCCCGGGCAGGTTCTTTAATCTCTTGGACCTGTTTTCTCATCCCTAAAATGGATGGAAATATTCCAAAGGTCACTTCCACCTGGAGGGTGACAAAAGGGGGCAGCACTGAGAGCATCACCTCCTTTCCCTAAGCCCTGAAACGATGGACTCAGTCAAATTCCTGGATCTTGCTTACCTGAACAGAAGTAGAGATGAGCCAGCACCAACAGCTGAAAGAACTTGAGGTATGAGCTCTTGGATGGTTTTAGTGTCTGATCCATGGTGTCTGCTGCTTGCTATGGAAAACGAAAGCAAAAGTGTCACACCAAGTGAGACCTGTGCACCTTCCAGTATGCACCTGGCTTGGGCAGAAGACAATTCAGTTTCCCCACACAACGGATTCTCCCGTGATGTTTGCAGAATACACCGAAGAAAGGCTGATGGTGTATCTAGGTCTCCAAACTCCTGAATATAAAAGATAGTGGATTTACTTTAACAAGCTGAAATATAAAGAAAACAATAACTCTTATGATGATTCTCCAATTGTCTTGAGAAGCCATAGCCTCCTCTGGGAATAAAAGCCCTGAGGGGGCTCCTTAGAGGGCTAGTATGGGTCTTGGAGATAGGCTTGATGATAGGTTTGTTTGAAAAGCAGTCAAGTTGTTGGTAACTAGTTCTACCAAGCTATCGCATAAAAAGATAATAGCAAATGTACTTACTTGCTGAAGGACAACTCCTCTTTTTTCTCTTGTGTTAAAAATCAAAGCAGGAGGCCACACTTCTAAGATGTTCTTCTCTGGCTATCTCCAAACTAATGACAAGTCACTCGCATAATATATCACAGAGGTGGCATTCCCCTTTCAACTTCCTCTTTTTTTTTTTTGAATATTATTTTACATTAGTTTCAGTTGTACACCATAGGCGTTAGACATTTATATAATTTATGCAGTGATTCCCCCCGATTAGTCTAGTACACCCCTGGCACTATATATAGTTGTTGCAACATTGTTGACTATATTTTCCATGCTGTACTTTACATCCCCATGACTATCTTTTAACTGCCAATTTGTATTTCTTAATCCCTTCACCTTTTTCACCCAGCTCCCCGATCCTCCCCCCCCCCTCCCGTCCCTCTGGCAACTATCAGTTTGTTCTCTGTATCTATGAGTCTGTTTCCATTTTGTTTGTTCATTTATTTTGTTGTTTATCTGCATATAAGTGAGATCATATGGTATTTGTCTTTCTCACTCTGGCTTATTTCACTCAGCATAATGTTGTCGCAAATGGTAAGATCTTATCTTTTTTAGGGCTGAGTAATATCCATTGTATATAAGTACCACCTCCTTTTTATTCATTCATCTATTGATAGGCACTTAGGTTGCTTCCATATCTTCGCTGTTGTAAATAGCGCTGCAATAAACACAGGGGTGCATATATCTTTTCGAATTAACTGTTTTGGATTTCTTTGGTTAAATACTCAGAAGTGGAATTGCTGGGTCATAAGGTAGTTCTATTTTTAATTTTTAATCTTTTGAGGAACCTCCAAATCATTTTCCATAGTGGCTGCACCAGTTTTCAATTTCACCAACAGTTCATGAGGGTTCCCTTTTCTCTACATCCTCACCAACACTTGTTTATTGATTTATTGATGGTAGCCATCCTGACAGGTGTGAGGTGATACCTCATTGTGGTTTTAATTGGCATTTCTCTGGTGATTAGTGATGTTGAGCATCTTTTCATATGTCTATTGGCTATGTGTATGTCTTCTTTGGAAAAATGTCTATTCAGATCCATTGCCAATTTTTAAATTGGATTGTTTGGTTTTTTTTGGTGTTCAGTTGTATGAGTTGCTTATAAATTTTGGATATTAGCCCCTCATCAGATGCATCAATGGCAAATATCTTCTCCCATTCAGGAGGCTGTCTTTTTGTTTTGTTTTGTTGATGGTTTCCCTTGCTGTGCAAAAACATTTTAGTTAGATGTAGTCCCATTTATTTATTTTTTCTTTTCTTTTCTATCTCCCAAGGAGATAGAAAAAATATCACTAAGGGCAATATCAGAGAGTTTACTGCCTATGTTTTCTTCTAGGAGTTTTATGGTTTCAGGTCTTACATGTAAGCATTTAATCCATTTTGAGTTTATTCTTGTATATGGTGTAAGAAGGTGGTCCAGTTTCATTTAATTTGTGTGTATCTGCCCAATTTTCCCAACACCATTTTTTGAAGACAATGTCTTTGCCCCATTGTATATTCTTGCCTCCTTTGTCATAGATTAAATGACCATGCAGGCATGGGTTTATTTCTGGACTCTCTATTCTGTTAAATTGATCTATGTGTCTGTTTTTTATGCCAGTACGATGCTGTTTGGATTACTATAGCTTTGAAGTATAGTTTGATATCAGGGAGAGAGATACTTTGAATTTTGTTCTTCTTTCTCAAGATTGCTTTGGCTATTCAGAGTCTTTCATGGCTTATACAAATTTTAAGATTATCTATTCTAGTTTTGTGGAAAATGCCATTGGTATTTTGCTAGGGGTTGCATTGAATCTGCAGATTGCTTTGGGTAGTAAGGACATTTTTATGATGTTAATTCTTCCTATCCATGAGCACAGTATATGCTTCCATTTATTTGTATCTTTTTAAATTTCTTATCTCCTCTTGATTTTTTGGAATAGTTTGAGAAGGATAGGTGTTAATTCTTTGAATGTTCAGTAAAATTCACCTATGAAGCCATTTTGTCCTGGATTTTTTTTTTGTTGGGAGTTTTTTAAATTACTGATTTAATTTCATTAGTAGTAATCAGTTGGTTCAGATTTTCTGTTTCTTCTTGATTTGGCCTTTGAAATTTGTATGTTTCTAGGAATTTATCCATTTCTTCCAAATTGTCCATTTTTTGGCATATAATTGTTTGTAATATTTTCTTATGATCCTTCGTATTTATGTGGTATCAGTTGTCACTTCTTTTTCATTTCTGATTTTATTTATTTGGGTCCTCTTTCTTTTTTCTTGATGAGTGTGCTAAAAGTTTATCAATTTTGTTTATCTTTTCAAAGAACCAGCACTTGGTTTCATTGATCTTCTGCATTGTTTTTTTACACTCTATTCTGTTTAGTTCTGCTCTGGTCTTTATTATTCCCTTCCTTCTACTCACTTTGGGCTTTGTCTGCTGGTCTTTTTCTAGTTCCTTTAAGTATAAGATTATTTTTTTATTTGAGATTTTTCTTGTTTCTTGAGGTAGGCCTGTATTACTATGAATTTCACTCTTAGGAATGTTTTTGCTGTGTCCCATAGATTTTGGGTCATTTTGTTTTTATTTGTCTCAAGGTATCTTTTGATTTCTTCCTTGATCTCATTATTAACCCATTCATTATTTAGTAGCATGTTATTTAGCCTCCATGTGTTTGTGTGTTTTTGTTTTTTTCTTGTAATTGTTTCTAGTTTCATACCATTATGGTTAGAGAAGATACTTGATATGATTTCAATCTTCTTAAGTTTATTGAGACTTGTTTTGTGGCCTAACATATGGTCTATCTTGGAAAATGTTCCATGTGCACTTATAAAGAATGTATATTCTGCTGCTTTCAGATGAAATGCTCAAAAATATCAATTAAATCCATTTGAGTTAGTGTGTCATTTAAGGCCACTGTTTCCTTGCTAATTTTCTGACTGGAAGATATGTCCATTGGTGTTGATGAGGTGTTAAAGTCCCCTACTGTGATTGTATTACTGTCAATCTCCCCTTTTTTTCAGTCAATATTTGCCCTGTATATTTAGGTGCTCCTATGTTGGGTGCATAAGTGTTTATAAGGATTATATTCTCTTGATAGATTGATCCCTTTATCATTCTGTAATGTCCCTCTTTGCCTCTTAGTATAGACTTTGTTTTAAAGTCTATTTTTTTCTGATATAGGTATTGCTACTCCAGCCTTTAAAAAAATATTTTCATTTGCATGAAATATCTTTTTCTATCTTTTAACTTTCAGTCTGTGTGTGTCTTTTGACCTGAAGTGGGTCTCTTGTAGACAGCATATAAGGTCTGACAATTAAGTTCGTGAACTCATCCTAGAAAAAGTGCTACATACCTTGTTGCTGAATATCACTATGGTCACCTTTGAAGTACTCCCCTTGGGAAGCTATGTACTAATGCCAGTGCTTAATCCACCCTTGAAAGCAATTTTGGAACTCTTTTTCTGGAATGGCCATCAGAGCTGTATGGCCATATTACCCTTGATGTCCTGAATGACATCAAAATGTCTTCCTTTCAATATTTCCTTTATCTTCAGGTAAAGAAAGAAGTCATTGGGGGTCAGATCAGGTGAGTAAGGAGGGTGTTCCAATACAGTTATTTGTTTACTGGCTAAAAACTCCCTCACAAACAGTGACGTCTGAGCTGGTGCATTGTCATCCTGCAAGAGCCATGAACTATTGGCAAAAAGTTCAGGTCTAAATTTTTCATGCAGTTTTTTCAGCACTTCCAAATAATAAACTTGGTTAGCTATTTGTCCAGTTGGTACAAATTCATAATGAATAATCCCTCTGATATAAAAAATGTTTGCAACATCGTTTTGACTCTTGATTTGGACTGACAGAGTTTATTCGGTAATGGAGATTTGGGTGACTTCTATTGTGCACTTTGTTTCAGGGTCATATTGGTACACCCATGTTTCATCACCAGTGATAACACAGCCCAAAACATCATCTTGCCTCTCCAAAAGTTCTTGGCAAACTTTTACTCTCCTTTGCTTTTGTTCATCGGTGAGCTCCTTGGGGACCATTTTTGCACACGCCTTTCTCATGCCAAGATTTTCAGTTAAGATTTTCCTAACTGTTTTTCTATCAATATTTACTTGGTCTGCTATGCTTGTCACAGTCAACAGATGATTTTGACACACAATTTGACAAATTTTTGCAATGTTTTCATCGGTTCTGCTCCTTACTGGCTGCCCTGACCTCTCTTCATCAGGGACACATTTTCTCCCCTCAGAGAAACATCTAATCCATTTGTATGCTGCCATTTCCTTCATGAGATTATCCTCATATACTTGAACTAACATGTCGCTGATTTCACTTCCACTCTTGCCAAGTTTACCAAGAAATTTGACGTTTATTCTTTGCTCTAATTCAAGCCCAGAAATGCTCGCGAGGACACACAAAAACACGCAACAATAATGAACGCCACTCAGCAAGACACTGCCACATGAACACAGCTGGGAGACACTGATATACCAAGGTTATGAAACCTTACCGAGCTGCTTGTACAATGCTGCCAATGTACATGCACAGTGTCAAGTTCGCGAACTTAATTGTCGGACCTCGTATATCTGCTACATTGCTCAGTTTTGGCTGGGTGGTCTTAAGTAGTAGATGCCCTTTGGAACCCAGGGGCACGCACCGTCTTCCTGGTCACCTGCCTCAGGTGCTCCAGAAGTGACCCTTGTGTGGGATATGTGTAGCCTCCTGTTATAGTTAAACCTTGATTATTATTGGCACATCAGAGGTTGGGATTGACCCGCAGGTTGACTGGCTTTGTGGTTTGGCCACATCCACAGTTTATGGGATGCTGTGTGTGTGGGGGCTTACCTTGTGGAGCAGGATTTGCCCCAGTGGGTTCTGGTGCCTGTCAAGACCACCTTTTGTGTGTGCAGCTTGTGGGGCTAATTGCGTGGTGCTCTGCTATGAAGTCAACCTTCAAGTATGTTGGCTCTGGGGCCTCTTGGGAGGGGCTCCAGTGCAGACCCAGATCACCCACTGCCTATGACTGGGTTGCAGACTACCTAGGAGCTACAAAGTGATCAGTGGTTGGTCACTGCCTGTGCTGGGTTTAGAGGTGTGTGGGAAAGGCCCTGTGCTGCAAACCAAGGATGGCTGCCACCAGTACCAGACCTCAGGTAGCTCTGCAAAAGCCCCAGGACACCCTGAGGCCTGCTGCTGCCTACTGGCTCCCATAAGGCTCAGCTGCTGATAGAGCCTCGTGCAGTACCTGAGCTGGGTGAGACACTACCAAAAACTCACTGAACAGCACACCAAATGAATGCATTTCACTATAGGTAAATTGTATCTCAATTAAAAAAAAAGCTTTCAGGCCAAGTCTTGGTCATTCATTACAGCTAGAAAGATAGGCATAGCAAATTAAAAATTTGAAGAAGTAGGGCCAGCCCAGTGGTGTGTTGGTTAACAGCTGGCTTGGGACACCAGCTCTGAGCAGCAGGGCCCCGGTTCAGATCCCACATATGAGGGCCAGTGATGCTGCCCTCTACAGCTAGGATGGTGAACAACAGCTCGACCTGGAGCTGGGCTGCCATGAGTCACCGGCAACTGCGTAGGCTGCAGCCCCTGCTGCAGTGGGCTGCCATGAGCTACCATGAGTGGCTGGCAGCTGGTGTGAGCTGAAAAGAGCCACTGTGAGCGGCCTTCCGGTGGCCGGCGACTGATCTGCCTCAGCCAGGAAGAGCGCAATGATAATACCAACATGGGCCAGTGAAGCGATGTCCTCCACAACTAGGCTGAAGAACAAAAGGACAGCAACTTGTCTGTTCCCCTTCCCCCGATTCCCCAATAAAATCTTTAAAAATAAAATAAAAAATAAAAAAATAAAAATTTGAAGAAGTATATAGAATGGAATGTAATGGAAAAAATAAAATGTAATGAACATTGCTGAATAACTTAAAATAGAATCAGAAGACTGTTAAGAAAGTAGGGCCTGTGAACATCTTGTGCCTCAGTTCTTAGACCTGCTGTTAAGTTGCTAAGCCTGCTGCTAAAGTCAGCTCAAGGCTGAGCCATAAGCATCCTGGAACAACTGCTACATGGACATATATGGACGTTACTTCCTCTAGATAATTTTCACCTTCCTCATTTGCATATTGGGACTAATTTCTGTTAAACTAACCAGCAATCCTTCATTTGCATGAAAGAATTACACTTTGTGGTTTTTGCCTTTATAAACCCTCCTTTCTTTGTTCACTATCGAATGCAGTTTGGATCTGTGTCTCTCCTTTTGCTCATATAAATGCTGTTTTGTTCTTTATTATAGCCTGAATCTCTTCTTTGGTTAACACTTATATAAGTTGATTCTAATTCTTTGTAAAAGTGACACTGTTATTCAGACAAAAATACTCTTAGTTTTTCTTCGCTTTTATTTACTGTCAGGATGAAAATTTATTCTGCTGCTAAATAAATGAAAAGAGTTATTAAAATTAATCGTACCAACCACCCTAAGAAGTACTTGTATGGTCCCCTATTACATACGGGTGAGAGGCTCAGAAAGGTGACAAAGGCCTCGCATTTAGTACCCTTTTCCGGGCAGTTGTATCCTTACTGATTTACGATAACACAGAAGAGACATATGAGTCACCAAAAGACGACTTCAGGGTTCCCGAGTTCCGACATTCTGAGAAGCTAGGAGCTGCTCAGCGCCCTCCTGAGCCCTTGGCCCCGGGCTCACCCGGGGACAGAAGGCCGCTGCGGTCCAGGAAGCCGCTCTGGAGGCCACAAGGCTCGCACGGAATTAGCCAAGCGGAAGGCGCCCCGGCATTCCTTCCGCCTGGGCTGAATCTGGGCGCGGTCTTCAAGCGAGGCGACGCGGCTCGGCCACCGTCTTGCGCAAAGCTGGGCTCCGGCCGGGTGTCCAACTTACCTCCTGCACGCCGGATGCAGCCAAGTCCCCACACCCTGAAGACGCCCCTGTCCGGTCTCGCCTAAGTCCCAAGTGCACCATTCGCCACGGCCACCAGGTACCCCACCCTGCTGTCCGCCCCCACCCCCGCGGGCCCTCCTCTTCTGGCGGTGACCTGGTCCCACCCGCTCTCTCCCTCCCTTCCTTGTCCCTGTCCCCAGTGCGCGATCTTCCTGGGACCAGATGCACCCCTGCATTGCCTTCCACCCTGCACTCCTTCCCCGGTAGTGACCAGGTGCCCCACCCCTGTCTTGGCCCCAGGCGCGCCATCCCCTACCTCACCCCCCAAACTAACAAACGAACAACAAAAAACAGCAGAGGTCTGTCAGGAAGCAGCTGCCCAACCTTAGCTTTGAATTTATTGTTGGGGAGTGAGAATGTAAACTGTAAAAGTTCAAAGGAGTTTGAGGAATAGCAGCGTTCTGAAAGCGGGAGGCTGGAGCAACAAGTGTGAAAGTTAAAAGGAATTTCCAACGTAAAGAGATGGTCATCACCCCCTACCACAGCTTTGTGAGTGCAACTCACAAATCATGTATTCGGTGGAATCAGAAGGAATATACAGAAAGGAAGCTTAGGACATTGGGAGAGCAGGTACAGGAGGACTAAAAGTTGGTCCTCTGAAGCGCTCAGCATAGGACAGGAGCCCAGGGAGCATCTATAGCCCTCCCCGCCCCATCTTTCCCCATTCCAATTAAAAACGGAAAATGGAGATCCAGGGTGGGTGGATTGTCCACAATCACACAACTGATTCTTGGCAGAGTCAGGTTTAGTAGCCCAGAATTCCAGTTCGTAGGCATCATTTATAAATAAGAAAACATGTAAATAATGCTTTACAAATTCCTTTTGTGAGCTAAGAAATTAAGCACGATCAGTATTGGTATACTCAATCTATCTTCATTTACTCTTCTCCAGGTTCTTGCCAGCCTGCATTCCACTGCCAACAGCAGTGCAGCAGGGAAGGTCTCCTGGAAGCCCTAGGACTTGAACTAAACCCTGAGTCATTGAGTTTAGGTAAGTGGAAGGGAGGATGGGTGTACTGGGTGTGAAAACAGCCTGAGCTGAGGAGAGAATGAGCTACCGTGTTTCTCAAAAGTAAGACTGGGTCTTATATTAATTTTTGCTCCAACAATCTACATTTATTCATTTATTCATGCACGAAAATCTACATTTATTCAAACAGTCATGTCTGGCTGACGATCTTAACTGAGGCTTATGTTTGGGGTAGGGCTTATATTACAAACATCCTGAAAAATCATGCTTATTTTCAAGTTACATCTTATTTTTGGGGCGACACGGTAGTTCACCTGCCCTTAAAGATGTTTGTTTGGCTGGCCTGTGCAACTGGAGTGGAGGGGTCCAGTGAGGACAGACAGGAGGGCTTTGAACTTGAATGCTACAGGCAGTAGGGTACAATGGGGGAATTGGAAATACACCTGTAGGAAAACCAGCACTTCACCAGGGATTAGGTTTTTGGAGGGCATATTAGCTGAGATCCCAGGACTCTAGAAGTTAATCATTTTGAAGGAAAACAAAATTTAAATATTGCTGTTAAAAAGGAAGGTTGTGAGGAGAAGGTATTCGTTCAATAATAGAAAAATCTTTTTCTCTAGTTGTGCACGAATAATAAAAATAGTGCTTATGATGTGCTAAGCACTGTCCTAAGTGCTTCACAAAAATTAATTCATTTATTCCTCACAACAAACCCACGAGATTGTTACTATTTTTATCACCATTTTAGAGATGTAGAGGCTGAGGCACAAGAGATTGCCTAAGGTAAGTAGGTTTGCACTGAGGTTAGTGGCTTGGAATCAGAAGATTTGGGTCCCAGTGCCTCCACTCACTGACTGTGTGAATTTACCCTCTCAGGTCCCCCAGTTTCTTATTTGTGAAATGCACATTATAATCCGTGCTTACTAATGACACAGAAAATGTGCAGGTGCCTTGTGAACCGTGCATTGTAATAGAAAGTACTATTGTTTAAGTAAAGGAGGGATGCACTTCTAAAGCCAAATTTCAACTAAAAAGGGCAAATGATAAGCTTGGTTTGACTTGCAGAATGTAATGGGCTTGCCACTTGCAGAGAGGCAAAGATGGAGTCGTACGTAGTTAAAATCATGGGCCCTGGAGTCAGATGGAATCCTAGCCATGCCGCTTAGTTCTGTGACCTAAGACAAGTCACTTAACATTTCTGAAACTGCATTATCTCTGTAATCCTCATTTTACTTACCTGTAAAGTGGGCCCAATAACACATTCCTCATAGAGCAGTTATTAGGATGAAATGAGATGCACTTAATGCAATACCTACAGGCAGTGAGTACTCAGTAAAATGCAGATAAGGCTATTATTTTTTCTCATTTTTCTTTCTCTTCATCCCCTGTGTGTCTTAATTTTCTCCCAAAGACAGCTTCACCATGTGTGGGGGATTGATGGAGAGGTATGTGGCTGCCATGGTGCTGAGTGCAGCGGGAGATGCCTTGGGGTACTTCAACGGGAAGTGGGAGTTCCTCAGGAATGGAGAGAAGATTCACCAGGAACTGGCCCAGCTTGGTGGCTTGGATGCCATAGATGTGGAGAGGTGGAGAGTCAGCGATGACACGGTGATGCACCTGGCCACTGCGGAAGCGCTCGTGGAAGCGGAGAATGTCTTGAATTTGACTCGACTGTATTCCCTCCTTGCTAAGCACTACCAAGACTGCATGGAAGACATGGATGGCCGGGCACCAGGTGACCATAGCCAGTAGAGGTCCTGGGCAGGTGGAGAATAAAACAGGCCCAAGGAAGTCATTAAAAATGTTGATTGAGATTTAAATATCAAGGAGACTACTGATTTAAATATCAGTAGTTTTTACAGTTATGATAAAAATAGAAACCTGAATGTCCCATAATTTATTTAATTATGGTGATACATTTGTAGCCATTTAAAATTATACAGATAAGTATTTACTGATATAGAAAGATGTTATATATTAAGTGAAAGATAAGTAAGTTACACAACAGGATGTATCTTACAAAGCCACAGTCATTAAAAGTATAATGTATACCTGTTGGGAGAAGTCTGGAAAAATATATACAGATGTTCATAATTGTATCTGGTTAATGGGAGTATTTATAGTTCCTTATTTTCTTTTTGTTTATTTGTATTTACTAACTTTTCTGTAATGAACAAGGAAAACATTTTTTTCTTTTTAAAGAAGAATGGAAAGGGTCTTGAAGAGATTTCTTTACTGTTTCCAGGTCTGCCCACAAGTGGTTCTTGCCCACTTTGGGAAATTGTTACAGGTACTTGGGCCACCAGGTGATTTGAATCACCTTTTCCCAAGCCCATCTGGCCTACCTCCCTTCCTGTATTAGTCAGCTTGAGCTTCCATAGCAGAACGCCACAGAATAGCGTCTTAAAGAACAGACGTTTATTTTCTTACTGTTTCGAAGGCTAACAGTTTGAGATCAAGGCATCAGCAGGTTTGTTTTTTTCTGAGGTCTTTATCTTTGGCTTACAGATGACTTCGTTATGTCTTTGACGTCTCACAGTGCACATCCCTGGTGTCTTGTTGTGTCCAAATTTCCTCTTCTTGTTAGGACACTAGTCAGAGTGCATTAGGGCCTATCGTAATATTCTCATTTTAATTTCATCACCTCTTTAAAGGCCCTATCTCTAAAATATAGTCACATTCTGAGGTACTAGGGGTTAGGGCTTCAACATACATGTTTTGGGGGACACAATTCAGGTTAGCTGATGAAAAGCACCTCCCATTGAAAATCCCCCCAACACACACACACACACGCACCCAGGGTTCTCTGGTGACCCCAAGGATTGGCCTTAGAAGCCAGCCTCTGTTCATCCTTTCTCAACATCCGATATCTCATCAGTTTGACAAGTGGAAAGTGTTCTTTGTCTAGCTGTGCCTTCTGTGGCATAGTTGTGAATAAACTGATTATAAGAGAACAGTAATACCACACCACACAGTATGTTACTGCCACTGCTTGGGTTATGTGTGCATTCATAGTTCCCAGTAGGATAGTGAGATGGTACAAGACTGATTACACTGTTCTCACAGAGGAGAAAACCAAGGGCACCCAAGGGTACATTGTTGCTCTGAACCCATTGCTCCGTCTCTGAGCCCAGCGCTCTTTACTCTGAAACGAGCCCCTTTCTGACATTTGGGAATTCAGGTGTCAGGTTCTCTTTGGGTTCTTTAAGGGCTTGGGCTTGGAGCATGATGGTTACGAAGCATGATGGGCTGCTAACTAGCTGGTTATGTGATTTTGAGAAAGGTTCTTAAGCTCTGAGCTTGAGCTTATGTATTTAAAAAAGAACATGTTATACCTACCTTTCTGAGTTATGATGTCTCAGTAATAACTGGCAAAGATTCCAAGCCTCTAAATATGAACCTACTTCTTTTATTATTAATCTTATCATGCTAAGGGTCATATATTAAGTAAGGAAGTGTTGGCTTGGGTATGGATTTTGAAGGCATTCATCATCATATTTTTTGGCTTTCCCTTCCCATCAAAGAAACTTGGAGGCAGAGTTTGGTTCTTTCCTCCTTCCAAGGCTTTTGCTTTGGTCACACTGACCCCAACCCCTACCCAACTTTTCCACAGGTGGCACCTCAATGCATAACGCCATGCTGCTAAAGCCAGACGAAGCCAATGGCTGGAGTATTCCCTTTAACAGCCATGAGGGTGGCTGCGGGGCTGCTATGCGGGCCATGTGCATCGGTCTCAGGTTCCCTCATCCCAGTCAGCTGGACACACTGATCCAGGTTAGCATCGAGAGTGGCCGAATGACCCACCACCACCCCACAGGCTACCTGGGAGCCCTTGTGTCTGCCCTTTTTACAGCCTATGCTGTAACCGGCAAGCCTCCTTTGCAGTGGGGAAAAGGACTGATGGAGGTGCTACCAGAAGCTAAAAAGTACATTGAGCAATCAGGCTACTTTGTGGAGAAGAACCTCCAACACTGGTAAGTTTGTAGGTGCATACTCCTGCTAGAAAATGGTTGCCAGAATTCATAGATCATAGCAACTGTCACGGTTCTCACCATCCAGTTTGGTCATCCAACTGCGTCCAGCCCCAGCTCCACCCCCCGCCTACCTGCTAAGGATTTCAGATTCAGTTCCAGCAGTGGTTGTCACCAAGTAGCCAAGTGAAGACCTCAGTGAGTAGTGCAGTTTCCCTCTTACAGGAATGCTGTTCCGTATTCCAACTTTCTATAGTTTTTGTGGCTATCCTGTACTGAGGGGAATTTTCCCGTTTATCTCCTGGAACTTGTTTTTCCAGTGTTGTCTTGATGTACAGTATTTTGAAGTCTTTTCTTAGAAGGCCCAAGAGATAGGTTTTTTACTAGCTAATCGGTAAGTGGTCAAACCACATCTTCCCCTTTTTATTTTTTTCTGGACTATAAAGCTCTTTTTAATTAAAATATAATTGACATACAATATTATATTAGTTTCAGGTGTACAATGTAGTGATTTGATATTTATATACCTTATGAAGTGATCACCACGAGAAGCTTAGTAACCATCTATCACCTTATAAAGTTATTGCGATATTGACTGTGTTCCCTATGCTGTACATTACATCCCGTGACTTATGTGTGTTATAACTGTAAGTGTGTACTTCTTAATCCTCTTCGCCATTTTTGCCCATCTCCCACCACCCAACTCTCTGGCAACTAGCAGTTTGTTCTCTGTTAGATTCCACATATAAGTGAAATGATATAGTATTTGTCTTTCTTTGACTTATTTCACTTAGCATAATACCTTCTAGGTTCATCATTTTGTCACAAATGGCAAGGTTTCGTTCTTTTTTATGGCTGAGTAATATTGCATTGTATATATATATATACCACATCTTTATCCATTCATCTATCAATGGACACCTAGGTTGTTGCTATTGTAAATAATGCTGCAATGAGCATAGGGGTGCATGTATCTTTTTGAATTAGTTTTTTTGTTTTGTTTTAGGATAAATGCCCAGAACTGGAATTGATGAATTGTATGGTAGTTTTATTTTTAATTTTTTGAGGAACTTCCAAACTATTTTCCATAGTGGCTGTGCCAATTTATAATCCCACCAACAGTGCTTAAGGGTTCCCTTTTCTCCATATCCTCACCAATACTTGTTATACCTTTCCCTTTTTCTGAGTTCACTTCAACATTGCCTTTTTTGGAAATTAAAGGTCCAGAGGCTTTCTGTTGAAATCACCCATAGTCATAATTTCCAAAGTTCCCTTCTGAAAAAAAAAGTAACTCTGCAAGGAGATGATGTATTAATTAGTTTGACTGTAGTAATCATTTCACCATGTATATGTATATCAAATCATCATGTTATATACCTTAAATATATACAGTTTTTACTGAGAAAATAAAATATATAACGACAGACTAAATAAAGTCTCCCCTTGAAAGGTGACATGACATTATTCTCAACTCAGGCAAAACAGACCTTTACTTCTCACCTTTGACTTGCTATATATCTTGTTTATTTAGCAACAGATATCAGTGCCTTGTTTATATCAATTATCAGCAAAAATTTATTGAATGAATGTTAGATAGAACTCATTTTGATTTTTTATATCATTTATGATATTAATACAAGAAATTGAAGTCATCTTGGAATTGTCCCTGTTTACACATCCACCTGGTGCCTTTCCTTATGGTTTTTGACTTTATTTTTTTAATTGAATGTAGATTTTTTTTTTCTTCCTCCAGGTCCTACTTCCAAGACCGATGGGAAGAGTACCTAAAACTTAGGGGGATTTTGGATGGCAAAATAGCCCCTACCTTCCCCAAGCCCTATGATGTGAAGGAGAGGGATCAGTTCTACACCTACATGAGCTATAGTGGCTGGGGAGGCAGCAGTGGACACGACGCCCCCATGATTGCCTACGATGCCATCTTGGCTGCAGGAGACTCCTGGAAGGAGCTTGCCCACCGAGCCTTTTTCCATGGTGGAGACAGTGATTCTACAGCTGCCATTGCTGGCTGCTGGTGGGGAGTTATGTATGGTTTTAAAGGCGTGAATCCCTCCAACTATGAGAAACTAGAATACAGAAGCCGGCTGGAAGAGACAGCTAGGGCTTTATATTCTCTTGGGTCAAAGGAAGATATGGTAATTGCCCTTTAGGAAGAGGTGATGTTCATTTCTGGTGGTTTCCTCTCTTGTGTAGTCCCTTTTCTACTCAGTTTCTTTTCACTGCTTCCAAAGGCAAGAGTCTTAGCCTTGTACTCAGGGACTTTTGAGATAATAAATCCCTTGGGCACCTGACGCTCAGTCTTTCCAGGCTTATCCTGTTCTCCCTGAATCTCTCCATCTTCTTATCCTGAGGAGTTCTTATCTCAGTTGATGGGGTCAGTGTCTCCCAAGCTAGAAATCTCATGGCCTCCTGTTTGAGTCTTCATTTTCCTCTTTGAGTCTTCATTTGTATCAGCTAATCTTTCATTAAATTTTTTCTGTTGTTTCAGATTGGGTTCCCCCAAAAGTGGACTCGACAAGGATTTGAGCACAAGTAGTTTACTTGGGAGGTGATTCCAGGGAGCACTGGGAGGAGCATGGGCAAGTGAGACAGGGAAGGCAGAGGAGCCTGTACAAGGCGTGTTAGTGAGCAGGTGACCACTGTCGGCAACTGGGGCTCAGTCCATCTGGGTCCTCTTTGTAAGGCATTCCTCATGGTTGTCCCATCTGAGGGACAAGCCAACTTGGGTATTTATATCCACTGCCTTCCATCTGACATCGGTGGTCCTGAGTGCCAAGTCCCTGCACTTCTAAGCCTGTCTCTTGTGCAAGCCAAACACAAATGTCTTCAAGCAAAGACTCAGAGATGCTTGCGGTGGCAAGCTGTAGGGAGCACAGGAACAGTGAGCAGTATATGTAGGGTCCCAACAGCATCTGCTACATGGTGTCTACCTTCTAAGTATCCTTTAAATATATCACCCTTTAACCTTCTTGCACCAAGTATTTTTCACCTGGATTTCTGCAACCCAAGATACTCAGGTGTGGGGTGATGCGGCTCCTAGTGGCGCTCTGTACTTACTGGACATGACATTTAACATGTTATTCGTTTGTTGTTTCCTATTTGCTTGTCTTTATTCTCCTCTAGGCAGAACCTAGTGCACAGGAGATACCTAATCAGTATATATTAAATGAATGTTGTTAATTAGCCTCCTAGGCTGGTGCCTCTAACTCCAGCCTTGCCTTCTTTCTTGTTCACCAGAGTTATCTTTACAAATAAAAAATTGATCATGCTGAACTTCTAATCGTGTTCAATAAATACATCACCCTTTTCTTGATTTCTTGATGCCCTTCCCTCTCCTTTTTCTCCTGGTAAGTTCATACTCATCCTTCAAGCCCCAACTCAGGTAGAACCACCTAGATGAAACTTGCTGAGGCATGTGGCCGCTTTCTCTTCACTGCATTCACAGCTTTTTGTGCCTAGCCATCACTACACGATCCTGTTGTATGGTGATGGTATGTCTTCTGGGGCGACCTCAGGCACCTAGTGGTGGATTGTGCCTTATTCTCTTTGTGGCCTCTTTGCCTGGCGCCTGAGAGACATTCAACAGATATTTACTCTGGAAGTTCAAGTTGTGTTGATGTGAACGTTTTCAACATGCAGTTCCATCCCTGTTTCCTATGCCCTCTATTTTATGATTGCCAGGAGAGGCCTGGCCAAGGTGTGTAGTGAATGATGAAGAGTTTGATGGCCTAGCCATGCCTATGGGTTGACTGAAATGAGACAAGGCTCAACTCTGTATTTGAAGCAGGACTCCAGCAAAGTCATGGGATTTCTAATTATTTTTATACGTAAATGGAGAGGGAAATTCTGAAGCTGTTTTTGTGGTACAAAAACTTCTCATGTGTATTTATGTATTCCAAGAAACAGGCATGTTGTTTTAAATACTACAACTAGGACAACAGATGCTTCAGTGGGACAACTAATCAGAATTGCAGATTTTAGGGGTAGTGGGTTACAATTCACAGAACATAGTAATAATCTCTTACATTCAGATGTCTTAAAAGACTGCTTTGCATAAATATTTTGAGGAACAGTTTTAGAATAATAGAAAACAGTTTATACATTTTTACACAAGATTTCTAAGCAGAAGATTAAGATGGAGACTCTTGGGCAGGACTGCTTTCAATTTCCCACTTGATAAGAACTGATTTTATAATGCAGACTAGTGTGTGCTTTTCTGTAGCTGTAGAATAATAGAAAACATTTTCTCCTTGTCTTTCTGAGGTTTCTTTTACCAGTAGTTAGGAATGCCTGCATTTTCAAGGTGGAGCACTAGAATTCTACTAGTACTGACCAAACAGCAGACCTGAGATGCTTAGATCTTACAATATGGAACAGGGCAGAAAGTATTTTGACAAGTGGAATATGAGGCATGACCTGCTGTGTAACTGGTTTGGTGAATGGTCTAAATTTAGTGAGAAGCAAACCTGAAATGATTTTGTTTTTCTCCAACTACTGCCTTTATACATATTCTTTTTAAGCTGTGCTTCCTGTCCCACAGCATCATCTTGGGAAGATCACATAATTTTTTTGGTCTTTGGGGCGGGGAGAGGGGCGTGTTAGTAACCCAGTCCATCCCAGTCCAGTGTTTTAAATTTCAGCTTTATTGAGGTATAATTGACATAGACAAAAATTTAGAGTCTACATTGTGGTGATTTAATAAATGTATTTACTTTGTGAAAGGATTTCCTTCATCTAGTTAATTAACATACTCATCACCTCACATATTTATCTTATTCGTGTGTCTATGAGAACATTTAAATTCTACTCTCTTAGCAAATTGCAGTTCTACGGTACAGTGTTATTAGTTGTAGTCACATTTTACATCAGATCCTTAGACCTTGTGGATCTTATAGCTGAAAGTTTGTATACTTTTGCCAGCCTCTCCCTATTTCCCCTAGCCCCTGGCGGCCTCTTTACTCTCTTTCTATGAGTTTGACTTAAAAAAAAAAGTGACAAATATGCCCTGTCACTTTCACATCGGTCACCCTCTATCTCAGCTGGTAGGCCCTCCCTCATTTGGCTTGTGAGGAGTGGGGAAGAGAAGGAGAAACCCCCACAGAACTATGACTCGTGATTTTTCCTTTAAATCCCTGGCTTTCAGCTGGCAGAGGTGGGGAAAGGAGGTCTGGTCACAGAGCAGCTCTGCTACCTCCTAGTAAGTTCTACATGGACTTGTATTTCCAAGTCCATGTAGAACATGGTGCTGGAGGGCAGGAGGCTGGGGACTTTGCATTTGTTGTTCTATGGTGTAGGACTTTACCCACAATTGGAGACAACAAAGAAAGACTCTTTAGAGATTCTATTATATTTGCTTGGCAGATTCTTACTCTTCATCACGGGTACACTTCAAAAAGAGTTTGGACTTTGAGGCTCCATTTTTCAAACTTCGAAACTTCCTTCCCAAATTCAGCCAGCGACTTTGCTTTCTATTTCCCCTGAGAAAATAGAAGCAGTCAGAAGAGAATAATTGCAGGTTCCCATCAGTATCTCTGCCCATCCATCTGCATCTGGGCTCATGGTCGCCGCTTCACTCCTGACTCTGAGTGCTAGTGCTAGTGTGTGTGTGTGTGTGGGGGGGGGGCGAGGGAGGGAGAAAGGCAGGGTGAGCACGAACAGGGAAAGAGATAATAAACTTAATTATATGCACTATGTTACAGATAGCAATAAAAATGATCTGACACCACTATGAATTTGTCATGCTTATCAAGTTAATTTACATAAACTGAGAAATAGGTCATGTGTAACATTACAGAGATTAATTATATTTTTTTCACCTGGTCTGTGATGGTGCTTCATTTGCTTTGTTGACTAAGATTGCTAGATGTCTAGGCAATATATATATTTTTAAGGCAAAATTAACATTGACTTCCTCAACTACCACATTCTCTATTTATTATTCTTTATCTTTCCAGGACAAGTAGACATCTTTTTTTTAAACAGAGCTACTGGAAGTGGGGGGGAAGGAATGGAGTCTGATGATTTCACAGTCAACCAGCCTAATGTAATAGCTCCTCAAGGAGTGGCTGCTGGGGTGTGGTTAAGCATCCAGAGATCGCCCAGACAGGGCACGGGGGATAGAGAGCCTTGCCATCATTTTTTCATCTTTGGGGTTTGCGGGGGTTGGGAAAAGTGATATCTTGGGAATAAATGAGACTCTCCATTTGGGGAAGGAAAAAGAGGGAGAAAGAGTTGCTGTGTGTCAGGCAGTTCACCATCACCCATTAACAGAGAAAGAAATTGGGCTTAGAGAAGTCACCATTGGTCCAAAGTCAGCAGCTAGGATGAGATAGAGCTGGGGCTTAAACTCAGGACTTTGTCTCCAAAGCCTTTTTTCTCTGCACACCTTCTACACTCTATAATTGGTAGCTATAATTAGAATGTTTTCCTTAGACAAAGCCAAAATGAAACCCAGGAGTGAGACGACAGCAGCCTATGCCCTTCCCCTTCACACAAGTGCGAGGTAAAACGAAAAGGAAAGTTAGTTGTGGGCTAGCTTGCCATATTTGGGGCGGGGGTAAGGAGGGGGCAGAGCTGAGCCCAGCTAAAACGGAAATGGACAGAGTATCTTCACTCGCCTCTCTTCCCTCAGAGAGCTTCCTCTTCCGCTGCCACCAAGGAGACCCCGCCCACTGCTGGGTCACGATTGGACTTCTCTCTTCACTCTGTGCTTAGTTATATCTGCCCCCACTTTAGGTTCCTACTTCACCTTTTTGGGCCTTGGTATCATCATCTGTACTAGTGTGGTGGTCTCAGGCAAGTGCCCCCACTCAGAGTCTCTGGGCTTGGAGCCCATGTAAAGAGCATGAGTCTAAAATGAGGTTGTCTGGAGATGGGGGACAGAATCTACCAAAAAAACCTTTTGTTTTTGCTGATCTGCAGAGCTGTGAATAGAGGTTTGTACTTTAAATAGAGGGTCATGCTTCAAACCAGTGTTTCCCCTCATTTTGGATGGTATGTGGACAGCCATCCCCCATTGTCAATGCCAGCAGATGGAAGTTCTATCAATGAAAACTTGAAATCAGTATTAGTGCAGGTGGTACATGGATATGGCAGGAGTGGGGAAGGTAGGACCTGAATGAATGAAACTGAGAAACATGACCTTGAGCAAACATGAATCTCCAGCAGAGTGATTTCCACTGGAGACCGCTCTAATGGAGGCAGACTTTCTGGTGTCTTTTATTCCACACCAGCCCTGAATCTCCTGAATCCAGGAGACTGGATGTACCATGCCCTCTCCTAGCAAATATTGATTGAGCAACAGCGATGCAACAGGCACTGTGCTAGGTGCTGGGGGTGAGCAAACCGGATCAGAATGTGGCCCCCCTGAGGGTGACATTCTCCTTGGGGGAGACATACCATATACATTGAATATAAATTGGTATTCCCTTAGCGTCTTCTGGTAGAAAGCTCTCTATGCTCACCTTCGAAAATATGTCACCCCATTTCCTTGGCCCCTCAAGCAGTGCTCCCCAGGCCATTGGCCTGTCTGAGCTTCAGTTTCCTCACTGGTAAAATGGAGATGGCTATAGTAAGAATTAAGAGCAGACTAGTGACTCTGGCATGCATACAACCCTCCGAGTAACCCGCTGGAACTGCAGAGTCCTGGGCCCAGCCCCAAATATTCTCATTCAATGTCTCTGGGTTGGGCCCAGCAATCTGTCCTGAGTTTCTTGGGTGCTTCTGAGGTCGGCAATCCTGGATGGGACCTCTTCAACCCCAATTGGAGAGCACTGACTAGATGATGAATGTGAAAGGGAAAGTGCATTACAGCCATGTGCAAAGAATAACTGGAATAACTGACTTGGCCTACCAGCTCTGGCCTTGGTGCGGGTGGCCATAAAATGCCGCCCTCAGTCTCCTGCTGTGGGGAACCTGTTTGATGGTCCCAGTTGCTGCCCTTCTGTATCTCCCTTCAGTCTTTGGGTTGAGACTGATCCCAGCTAATGACTGAGTAGGGTGGGGCTGGGGTAGTCCCTCCCTCTGTAATTTTCTTTCCTTCCTCCTCTCCTACACAGGCGTCAGGTCTGCATCACAGTCTAAATGTTCTCCCTTCCAAATAAATAAATAAATAAATAAATAAATAAATAAATAAATAAATAAATAAATAAATAAATGTTCTCCCTTCTATCTTTAGCTTCCCTTATTCTTCACAGGTGCCATCCCTAATAATTCTCTTGTCCCATCTTGGCACCGTCTCTGAGGACCTGAACTGATGAACGTACCTCGCTTGGTCTCTGATATCAGAACAGTCTTCAGTAGTGCCCTATTTATTGCCGTGCTCCTTCCTGATGGCAGCAGTGCTTCGTCAGTGGGATCGTATGCATGAGGGGAAGCAAGAGCTGGTCCCCCCAAATCATCTTATCCTCATCTTCGACATGCCTGGCACAGCCACATGGGCATGGTACCAATTTCTCTTCAGGGATTGTTGCTGTCTGCCTCAGTGGTTCAGAGCATGGCGTTGGGCTAGCTTTTCCAGCTTCGCAGCTCAACTCTGCATGACCTTGTGCAAGTTACTTGACCTCCCTGTGCCCTAAAGCTGTGAGAAACACATATGTCGACAGTACTCACTTCATGGAGCTATCGCCCAGATAGTTTGCTACTGGCCCTACTGGCAGGTTTTCTGTGTCACAAACTAAGGAGCCGGACAGCAAGTACCCTCCCTCCTCCCGCCCCCCACGTTGTGAGAACTGGCTCTCTGTGGTTTCTGCCACTCCTTTTGGTGAAGAGGCCACAAGCTACACTGGAAACGCTCTGGCTCCAAGCCAAGCCTGCCACTTCTAGGAACAGGGTCTCTATAGGTCTTTTTCTTTCTATACTATTCTCTTTCTTTATTTGTGAATTTAAGAAGCTGAACATCTCTTCTTAGAGGTTGGACTTCACTTCTAGCCCCAAGATAATATGACAGACTAGAACGCTCCAGAGGCAAACTTCATCTTCTTCCGTTCTGCCTATTAAGTGTACATGAAACATGTATTATTATTGGCTCAGCTCTTTGCTAGGCACTGGGGATTCAAAAATGAAACAAGAGGGCCTTTGCCCGCAAATCACTCAGAGTCTTCCTAGGGACACAACACGTCCACAGATAATTCCAGTACAATAAGGGTTTTGTGATCACATAGAGATGAAAGACTTCTGCCTTGGTTTTTTACTAACATTTTATAATGGGAAGTGGGAGAGGTACAGGAAATAGTTTCCTGATGATATTTGGCTCAGAGAGGAAGAACAATGTGTTTCAATGTGCTCTGCTTTAAAAAAAAGAAAAGTATTTATTTTCAATTGAGAAGAAGAAACTGAACAACTGTGGTGGTTAAGCAAATAGGGAGAGTTTATTTTTTCTTCTACAGGTCATGAAGCCAGTTAATGATTAGTGGGAGTCAGAGCCAAGTGGGTGTTTGGTGTGCAAATCTCCTAGAGGCTGGGTTATGTGATTTCTTTCGCACTGGGGTCGGTTTCATCTCAGCTCTGAAACTTGCAGCTCAGCGATGTACTCAGACTTTTGGGAGAGGTGCTTCTGGTTGTGGGGGCTCCTTTTGTGGCTCAGTGATGGGAATGCAGGTAAGATGGAGGCTCCTACCTTGGGTGGAATGATTCTTGCTCAAATCGTTACTTATGCGGTAGAATAACCTTTGGAAGGTCCCCTAAAAGCCCTCTCTCTTCTGAGATGAATTTACAAGAGGGAGAAACAGCCCTATAATCATAATGGGAATAATGGTAATCAGGGCACTTTTTCAAGTCGAAAAGTAGAACTATCTCTAGTTATTTTACGCATTTTTCTAAAACCTGCATTATTGTTTTTCACTTTGCACAAGCCAGGATGACAGTGAGAAAATAAGATTTGATTAATTCTGAAATGTGATTCACTTTCATCCTATGAATATCCACTGTTCCAAGATCTATTCATTTTTATTTTTTTAATCTTTAAATTTAAGTTTTCCAAAGGAACAATGATTTTGTCATTGAGATTGTTAGACATCCTTTTTACTGTGGCTGACTATAGTTCAGGTTTGTCATCCCTCCTGGTGGGACACTGATAACCTAGTCCCCCGCTTACGTTAAAACAACTTTCCTCAGATGCTATTTGAATTCTACCTTTCCCATTAAAACCCCCCACCCACCGTTTCTGCTTGCTTAACATAACAAATCTAAACCCTCATGTGGCATCAAGATTCCCTGACTAGTGAAGATACCCTCTTCCGCCTGGTCCCAACAGCAGACTGCTCTTCTGTCATCCTCACAAGACGTGTAATTTCCATCCCCAGCTTTAGACTGTGTCATTCCTTCTGCCTGGAGTTACTCATACTATCTTTTCATTCATTTTAGCTCTTTACATCTTTCAAGAGGGCTTCCATGATTCAGGCTTTCCTTCATTCCTTTACTCAGCATCCCTTCCCTGCTCCAAAGTTCAGTTTGCTTGTGTGTGTTCACGACCTGTATTAATGGGTTGCTTTTAAAAGGTGCTACCTAGTTTCATGTGTCATTTATTTGTTGTGTGTATAAAATGACCTACACACACACACACACACACACACACACGCACACGCACACGCACACGCACAGAGGGTGCCAAAAAATGTAAACACATTTTAAGAAAGGAAAAAACTGTATTAATTGTAATACTCAATATATACTGATAACAAAAGATGAATACAAGTTATGTTTGACTTCTGCAATTACAAGAGGTGCTCAAAGTGGTTACCATGCGTCCAGACACTTCTGATTATGGCGAACTACTGCTTGAGCATAGGTAGCGTCTCTTAAAATGAGTATACGTTGTTTTGGCATTCCCGGTATATTTGTGTGCATGACTCTGTGTGTGTGTGTGTGTGTGTGTGTGTGTGTGTGTGTGTGTGTGTGTATGTGTCTCGAGGGGTGGGGAGGAGGAGAGAGAGAGAGATTCTTTCTTATTAACATACAGAGCAGTTTTTTAATGGCTGTTTATACACTATCTACTAGATCTGAAAGGATTTATATCTTCTACATTTTTGATAGATGTGAGAAAAATTGCCCTGCAAAAAAGTTATAACTAGCTATTATTGTGTAAGCATAGCCATTTCTCTACCTCTCTGCCAACACTGTAATATCACATTTTTCATATTGTCAGTCTGATAAGAAAAATAATATTATGTTGTTGTCTTAATTCTTATTTCTCATTATTATTTCTGCTTCTGGTATCTTGTTTAAGCAATTGTCTTATAAAGATAATCTCCCATGTTTTCTTCTAAACCCCACGAGCTAGTACAAGGGACAAATCACCAGGGACAAATCCTTTGGTCATGGTATTTTTTTAAAAATACAGTGTTGGATGTCATTTGCCAACATTTCTTTTTCTATTTCTATTTATTATTTTGCATATATGTTCATAAAAGAAATGTATTTATCATTTACTTCCTTGTTTTGCTCTTGTCTGGTTTTGATACTAAGATTATTATAACCTTATAGAATAAGTTTCTATTCTATGAAACAATTTATATATGATAAAGATTATCTGTATTTTAAAGGTTTGGTGGAGCTCTCAGATAAAACCATCTGGCTGTAGTTCATTTCAGGGCTAGGGAAGACTCTTGGTTGCCAATTCAGTTTTTGAATGCTAGTAGGTTTATTTGGGTTTTGCATTTCTTTTTGAGTCAATTTTAGTAAATTATACTTTTCTAGAAAATTATCCATTTCTTTTAAGTTTTCCAATGCATTTGCCTGGGAATTTTTAAGTATATCTTTTTATCCTTAATATTCTGCAGTTATACTATAATCTGCCTAGTATAGATTTATTTTTCTTTATCTTGTTTATTATCTTGAGTATAATTTTTTATTAGAGAACTCATATCTTTTTTTTGTTTTTGTTAAGGAACATTCTTAGTAATTATCTTTTCAAAATAATTGCATTTTCTCCCTTTAGAGAACAACTACTAGATAAATGTTGGAGCTTCTCCATCTATTGTCTGTACTTTTTAACTGCACTTTTATACTTAAAAAGTTGTTTTTATGTTTATACTAGACATTATAGTATTGGTTTCTGTTTTAATGACTTTCTTTTTTATTTCCAATTTTCTAATTAACTGTTTCCTGTTATATCTTATTGTATAATTTATTGTATAGTTTATTTCATAATTTCTTTATGCTTTGTCTTTATTTTTATCTCTGCGTATTCTCAGCATACTTATTTTAAAGACTATATCAAAGGATTTTTCAATGTGTTATTTCACCTGGAATGAATTCATGATTCACTTATTGGTTATATTGACTATCTTTGTACACATTTGATTTCTTTATATATTTAAGCATTTTATTTGCAGGCTTTTAAAAAGTAAACTTTTTATTCAAGCACAACACAGATTAACTACAACACAGAAAAATACACAGATTATTCATACACAGATTAATGACTTTTCAGAGTGAATTCACTTGTGTAACTATCACCCAGAACCCAGACCAACAAATTAAAAATTACCAGGATCATAAAACCCATTCTCTGTATCCCCTGTTAGTCACTACCTCCCCAAAGATGACTATCATCTTGGCTTCTAACAACATAAATTAGTTTCATTTTAATTTTCAGTGAAAAGTTTGTTTTTGGCCTCACCCTGTCTCTGTCTCTCTCTCTCTCTCCCCACTCACACCATCTTCAGGTTCTCTCCTCTAGTTAGGTGAATTCTCAGCTCCTGTTAATGAGGTTTTGTCTTTCCATCCTGTCTCCCTAAATAAAGCTATAGCCCCCAGGTAAAAAGTCAATAGCTATTTTTTGTTTGTATCATTTTTGTTTTTAGCTTCCTTTCCTGAGTTGGGGAGTCCGTCTCCACCACTGGCTACCACAGGTGGGCCTGGTGCTGGTCATCCACACTGGACATGGAGCACCTTTGGGTCCCATTTACCTCACAGAACTGAATTCTCTCTCTCTCTCTCTCTCTCTCTCTCTCTCTCTCTCTCTCTCTCGATATTATTGGGGAAGGGAACAGTGTTGGGGAATTGGGGAAGGGGAACATTGTGTTTTTCAGGACCCATCAGCTCCAGTCAAGTTGCTGTCTTTCAATCTTAGATGTGGAGGGCGCAAGCTCAGTTCCAAGTCTAGTCCCTGCTTTCAATCTATCAATAGTTGTTGGGGGGAGGGGGGAGGGAGGAAAGGGAGGGCACAGCCCACTATCCCATGTGGGAGTCGGACCAACAACCTTGTTGTTAAGAGCATGCACTCTAACCAACTGAGCCATCTGGCAGCCCATCCGCAGCTCAGTGGCAGTTCAACTCAAGGTGCCATGTTCAATCTTAGTTGTGGGGGGGGGGCGTAGCCCAGAATCCCATGCTGGAGTTGAACTGGTAACCTTGTTGTTAAGAAATACTCTCACCAGCTGAGCTATCTGGCTGCCCATTGGCAGCTCAGCTCGGGCGCAGCTCACTGGCCCATGTGGGAGTCAAACTGGCGACCCTGTTCCTCAGAGCTCATGCTCTAAGCAACTGAGCCACCTGGCCAGCCTGAATTCTTATAACTGCCTTCTCCCAAACCTGGAACTCAGCACCATTTTGAATTTTTGTTCTTGTTCATGGAGCTATTATTTTTCTATTTGAAATTGTCTAAGTTTTTTTTCTCTTTTGATATTCACCTGTCATGACTGACTGTTTGGTTGGAGTGGTGGTTGAAGGGAGGGGGTATGTGAGCAGCACTCAGTATGCCATGTTCCATACTCCTAAGTGATTGACAGTTTTATTATCTGCAAATATTGGCCATTTCTTTCTCACCCTTTTCTTTATACATTTAAATTTTTTT